GACCAGGAGAGATCTCCATGCCTTTATATAAGCCATCAGCAGAGGGATAGTCTTGGCTATTTTCAGGATACTGTAACATATTCTTCCTCACACTTGCGGCATGTTAATGGACGCCAGCTTCTGCGTTTCCATGGCAAAATATACCCCCAAGTCCAATCACGTGATTGACGACGTCGGCACACGCGTAACGTCATGCACGCACTGCGCGCACATGTTTTGGGGTCAAAGACCGATTTTGGCCAATCAGAAGATTTGAGCAGGTATTTAAACCTCATTATACCTGACACTCATTGCCCTGTCGTGGTTTCCCTAGTGGTTGTCCGAGAGCGCGTTATTCATTCTGGTTATTCTGGTATTTTGACTTTGGCAATGATTTTGACTTCCCTGTTTTCTGGCATCCCTGACCTCTGGCTTTCCTTTATCATTGTGTCTCTTTCTGTGTCCCCTGACCACGGCTATTCCTGACTATTCTTTGGTACATTAGTCCGGCCATTCTAAGGCCCGGTAATACGTTACCTATCAGTCACCTGTGTTACACAATTCTACGTGCTGGATGATACAGTAATCCTGACAGATAATAAGCCCCAGGGGTGACAGTACCTGAAGGTCTGTTAGCTCTCCACTAGAGCAGTTTCTCCCTATTGAGCATCAGTGGCCAAGTTTCCCTGGAACTTATAGGTTAAATGGCTGCTTGGTCCTCAAGCAATACTTTTTCAAGACATTTCCTTTGGTACATTTGAGTTGCTTGCTCAATTTGGTAATGTGGCAATAGCGGGCAATCAGTTTTTAATTTCCAATGTCCTTATGAGGTGTGTGTGTGTTTTCACTTTGTATTGATAATTTGGAAGTCTTGTGTATTTATTTTTCCTCCTATTGTTATTCGAGCTTACAACAACTTTTGTGAGCTGAATTTATTATGGGGCAGGATTGTCTGTGTGCCATCGTGTTGCCTACTAAATAGGATGTCAGATTATTCTCTCAAATATACAATCTAATCCAAAGCAATAGTAATCTTCCTTGCCCAATCTTGACCAACCTACCAACAAGCTACAACTTGTACAACTTGCCCAAGCAAATCACATCAGTTCAGGTAAAGGCCACAGTATGTGCAAGGGGTCCTACAGGTGTTCCAAGGCTCACATTATTGAAAGTAAATTTATACATATTGTTCCCTATTTAGTTCTCTAGAGTATTTCTGCATTAGTCTGGGCTAGTTTAAATTTATGTTTTTGACAAAAGTTTTATGGTTGTATCTCTATACTTCTGATTATCTCTAAAGAAAATATACAGTGTATTTTTAAGTAAAGTTTAGATGCAATTTTGTCTGCACACCTTCATCAGTGCTTCATGATAGTCTTCCCAATTGGAGAGTGCCGACTTTACTGTCCTGTCCTGCTGTCCCGGGTTTGTTTCCTGGTGTCCCCTTGTACCTTTAGTGGGCTGGCCTGCTTAATTGGCAGACAGCATGGCATGCATTCAGGTCCCACAGGCAAGCCAGTAATTCTGGTTGGCCCTCCCCAAATTCAGATGGGTCCACCCCATTTGGGTATGATATATATATATTTTTTTATTATATCTCTTTTTCCTCATACCTACAGGCTCTCTCACTCAACTTTACTGTACCCCACATTACCATTACACCAAATTGTGCTTGTTAATATTGCATTTGTCATTTCCTTCACAAGGTTTCATTGCACCTTCTCTTTTTTTAGCTATTATAACTCGAAATGGATGTCTGTTCTTAATGATATACATAAAGATTTTAAAAAAAAAAATCTAATTTTTTGCACAACTGTCAGGGTTTCTTTTCTGTTTTAAACAGCAACCCTTCCTTTCTCTGTGTCTGAGCTTTTAGCTGGTTTTAACGATCAGCTCCTTCATTAATGTTGCCACGGTTGCTCATCTGATTGTAGTAACCAGTCCTGCTGCTAATCAGTGCAGCCTATTTAAGCAGCAAGTCCCAGTACCTCATTGCCCTTGCGTGGTTTCCTGTTTCTCAGAAGACTTCCTGTTTCCTGTGTGGTCCTGGTTCCTGGTTCCTGGTTCCTGACTCTGGCCTTGTTCCTGACTCCGCTGCTCTCCGTTCCCCTGACCCTGGCTCGTCTGACTACCCGTTTTGGTGCCTGACCCCTGTTGGCCTCCTGGACTTTGCTTTTGATTTATGTCATTATTTGCTATTTCTAATAAAGGTGTTTGGCATCTACGTTCTGTCTCTGTCTGGTTCCTGGTCCCTAACACCAACACATCAGAACTGGGGGGAAAAAAATCACCCACTAAACTATTTTTGTTACTTGACTATGTTGACCTTAAATTTGCCAGTGCCCACGATTTCTTATTTAGTGAATAAACCACTGAGTAGTATAACTGAACTTTCCAGCTCAATACGCAATATTTCCAGCCTCATTAGATCAACATGGTCTGGTGTGAAATTGCATAATTTAGGTCCGTATGCTATTACGGTGAATGCAAGCGCTGCCATCAACTTATTTCATGTCATCAGCACAGCTAATTCCGACCGGGCAGTCTAATAAATACAGATGCTCTCCTAGAGACCTCTTTATTGAATAAATGAGTTGTACCCAAGGATTTTCCTTTGTGCTGATATTTTCTCTGCATTAGCAAAAGATCACAGGTAACAGCAATTTAAAAGACTAATATCTCCCAAACCACAGTGTTTGGTCAAGAATTTTATTACACAGAAATCATGCACAGAATGAGCGGAAAATTACCTTTTATGATGTGCCTTATACCACAACGGCTAATTGTGTGGATGATATGACCTGCAATAGAGCAATTAAACTATAAAGTACATAAAGTGAGACAAATCAGAATTCAGTCTGGTTTATTTTTTTATTTTTTTTCTTGCCTGTCTTGCTAATAGCGATATATATATACACATCGGAATACCTGCCCAACCCCAGGATTGATGCGCTTAAGAAATTAAATGAATATGAATACAATTGTGGTTATTCTGAAGAAATGTGTTAACATTTTTGGTGGGTTAATAAAATCCATAAAGAGTTGTAGAACTGTGAAATAGCCTTCGAGTAGAAGCAGTAGAAGCTAGAAATGATATGGAAAAGGCAGTGGATACCTGCAATGGCCATCTGGTGGAAGAAGTAAAGGCTAACAATGATGTAGAAGGGGTAGTGGATTCATGGAATAGCCTTCCAGTAGAATAAGCAAAGACTAACACTTATTCTGTTTCTTCCAGCAGAAACTGTAAAGTGATATATAAAGGATAGTATATATCTGTAAAAGCCTTTCAGTGGGAGTGAAGAATACTTGACACTTCATTACCTAGAAGAAAGGAAAATGGAACTTCGCCAAGGAGAATTGCACAAGGGGATGTCATTGACATGAGCCACCAGCCATCACTCAGACTATACACATTGCACTCTAGTTCTTTTCCAACTGTGTCTGTCTAAAACCTTTTAATAGCAATAATTAAGATAAAGTAATCCTTACTTTGCATTTAAAATAACTTTAAAAAGGGAGATATTTTCAATAAAACAGAGCAAATTGGTAGCTTTTTATTTTACTACCGTATAATAATTCTACACTTGACATAGCTGCGTTACCTTCTCCATGATTTTTTTAATACTGCAACATCTTAAATATATATGTAAAATATGCCTGTCCTTGTTCTTCCCATATCAAGAATGATCCTTTTGTTTGTTCCATGACAAATTGTAGCACAAGGCAGAAATGATCAAAATTGTAGAACCCAGTTTAGGGCTTGGCAAAGCATCATGGGAACTTTATGGTAAATGAAGGGGTCTGCCATGAAACCAATAGTCTGAAAGGTTAATGAAGTAGATAAAACGGATTAGCTCAGCTGGGTGTACTTTATCAACACCACTGGTAAAACACATTAACATTTCACAAGGATTTATCAGGCATTCCTATAATAGACCCCTTGATTTCTATGGGTCACTATAAAAGCATTTCCTAAAATTTCATCCACAACTTGTGAACATCGAACATTTCCATTTGGTGCCTTAGAGTTTGTTCATTGCATTTATCTTATACATCCGGGGGTGTAACTAGGAACCGCTGTGCCCCAGCTCTAGTATAAAACCAGGCCCTCCCCCCCCCCCATAAAAATACACCTAGCTGGGATGTGTGTGGTGGCAGCCAGAGTGTGATTGTGGTGCTTGCTTAAGTATGATATGTATGTTTGGAGTTAGCTGGTTGTGATTGTGAGGCTGGCTGAATTTGGTTGTGTGCAAGAACTGGCTGAGTGTAATTGTGTGTGAGGTTGTCTGAGTGTGATTGTGTGATAGTTGGCTGGGTGTGGCTGTGTGTGAGGCTGACTGACTGTGATTGATTGCAGGATTGGCTGAGCATGATTGAGTGTGAGGCTGGCTGAGTGTGATTGATTGCAGGTTTGGCTGAGCATGATTGAGTGTGATTAGATATGATGTTGGCTGAATGTAATTGCATGTGGGGTTGTTCAGTGTAATTATGTGTGAGGACGGCTGAGTTGGATTGTGTGTGCAGTGCTTAGCGTGATTGAGTGTAGAGTGTCATTGCATGTGGTGTTTACCGAGAGTGTTTGTGTATTGGGGTTATATGTGTCTTTTTTTAAATTAATTTTTAAGGGGTTTTACCACCCTCCTGGGCACATTTCTGAAGGCCAGGGGCTAAAATAGTAGTTCAGTTTCCAATGGTGAAATTAACTCTTTTGACAGCATCCTGGAGCTGCAGACCAGCATTTGCACTCAGAATGTTGCCACATTAAATCACTCTGATTCATGACTGCTGACCCAGACCCAAACCCCCACCCCTACCCCCACCCCCCGTTTCCCAATAAATACACGACACCTTCTGTATGGGTAAGGGCAACGGCCACAGCTTTATTAACTGATTAACAACAGATTATCGCCAGCGTCCACAACCTGTCAGCTGTTGGGGGATTACCAACAGACATCTCTATCAAAATGACCCACGATTCCGGAGCAGCCGGCCCCGCCATCAGCTCTCAGCAGGCTGCGACTCCCCAAGCCGCTTGGGCACTTCCTTCCAATCCTCTTCGCTGGCCAGGACTACCGCCACCGCGGTCCCTCCCTACCTACTCCCTTGGGAGGAACCGCGCCCCCCCGCAGCCAGCGCCTCCTCAATACCAGACTGAAGCCCCACATTGAAGATATCCAACCCTATGAGTGAGAGGTGTACCCCATCCTTACGCATGAGGTTGGAATTGTCCCCTTCAAGTTCTCTGTGCCTAACGACAAACCCGCCGAGGCGGCGGACAAACTTACCAATAGCCACATTTAACTTGCGCCTACTACGCTCCACGCCCTTTGCATGAGGAAGCGTACGCCAACACAGTCTGGACACTATGTCCGACCAAATAATGGTCAAATCGGGGAAGAGGGCCATACAACGCGCCAGATCATGCCTAACAGCATACAGGAGGTCCACTGACCTGCTGCGCCCTAGGTCATTACCCTCCGCATGAATAACCAGAGTCACTGGCCCTGACACGTACCGACGCAGGGATACACATTCGGAATACAACTGCTGCCATAACATCCCCCTGATACCCCTCCACCTTACCATGGCTACATAGTAGGGAAAACCCAAATTTCTCCCATAGGGATGCTCCTCAGCTCGCCGCGCTGCCCAATACACGAATGAATGTCCCAGTATCCAGACGCAGCGAGGCCGAGGACCTACGGAGAAAATGCGTTATAGTAAATGCGGTCTGACATAAGACCTGTAGCGATTTGAACCCCATCTACCCAATCGCTGAATCGCTGCACCTGAGAAACCCCACAAACTAGCCTGGGTGGCCGCCCCTATACGGAAAGAATGAGCCGAGTACTGGCGAGGATTCATCCCGCACTCAGCCAGCACCACTCCAGCCTAATCTGTCTAAATAGTCCAAAAAGAGACGTACTGGACAAAACATCCCACCCGTAGCACCGATACGTACCCAAGAACCCCTACCTACCTGGTCCGTCTTGGAACGCCTAAGGAAGACATTGACGTAGTCCGAGGACCACCGGATATCTGCCAGCACAAGCGCACCGACCGCCTTGTGGTTGCGTGCCACCAATTCGCCCACCTGAAAGGCTCCAAAAAAACAGAATGCAAATGAAACCTGAAATAATGAGACCTCATAGGCCGAGAAACAGACCGCCCCAAGGGCCGACTGAATCCGTATCAGCAAATCGTCTGACACCGGGCGCCGCTGGTCTGGGCCTCTCCTAAGTCTCCAACCACGGATAACTCGCTGAATACCAAACCACCGGGAAACGTCTTGCCAGCCCATAAAGCGACACAGGAAAGACAGAGCGGACAAAGCCTTTTCGGCCACAGAACATGACTTACCCTGCGCAAACATCAACTCTAGCATCGTCAGCGTCGCCTCCAAATGCCCGGACTCCGACCCCAGCACCATGCCCTCCGAAAACAAGGACAGCCAGGACTGCCAGACGGTCAGGTAAGCCTTCCATGAAGAGGAAGATAAGGAGTCCGCCACCAAACCTCTCAATCCTCCAAATCGATCTCCCATAAGGAAACCAGACATCTGACTCCCACAGCCTCCGCCGATGGCGCCGACTCCCGAAAACGGTCCCACTGAAACCGAGAAAGAGAGTCAGCAACCACGTTATGAACCCCCGGGACATTGACATGCTTTAATCCAAATATTATACATTAAAGAAAGTAGCACCAACCGGCGCAGCAGCGCAAGAACCGGAGGGGAACTGGAGGAGGAGCGGTTTATCACATGGACCACACTCATGTTGTCCGTGTGAAAAACCACTGTCCTGTTGCCAAGAGCCTCCCCCCAAAGTTCCAAGGAGACCACGATGGGAAACAGCTCCAAGAACGCCAGATTTTGCATCACAGCCAAGCCCAGCCATTTCGCAGGCCATGCCTCCGCACACCATTTGCCCTGAAAGGATGCCCCAAAACCCACGGTGCTAGATGCGTCCGTGAAGAGGTTCAACTCGGCATTAGACGCCGCCTCCAGCAACCAGCAGGAGCGACCATTGTAGCGGTCCAAAAAGGAGCTCCACACCTGAAGGTCTGTCCGCAAACGCTGTGTGACCCGGATAAAATGAAAGGGTTCCCGTCTCCCACCGTTGCCAGAGAGAGGCGCCTGCAGAACGCCCACCCCATGGGAAGTACTCTGCACGCGAAGGCCAAATGCCCCAGAAGCACCTGCATCTGACGCAACTGTACCTTTGTCGCCCCGTGAACCAGATTGATCAGTCGCAAGAGAACAGACAATTTTTCTTCAGGCAACCGGAAAACCATACCAACAGAGTCGATCTCTATCCCCAGAAAGGACAGAACCTGAACCGGGCCCACCGTCTTAGCCTCCGCGACGGGGACCCCGAAATATCCTGTGACCACCCTAAATGCTTGTAAGAGCCGCTCACACTCACCTGATCCCGGGGTTCCGACGGACAGAAAATCATCCAGGTAATGAGTAGCCGAGGACAAACCCGCCTCCTGTGTCGTCACCCATTCCAAAAACCACGAAAACATCTCAAAATAAAAACAAGAAATTGAACAGCCCATGGGTAAACACATGTCGTAGTAAAAGGCCCCTTTGAAAGAACAGCCTAACAGATGAAAACAGGAGGGGTGAACCGGTAAAAGATGGAAGGCCGATGCGATGTCGGATTTTGCCAACATAGCACTTTGCCCGGCACCACGCACTAACTCCAAAGCCCTGTCGAAAGATGCGTATCGCACCCGACAGATGTCCTTCCCGATAGCATCGTTTACCGACCCACCCGATGGATAGGACAGATGCTGGATCAATCGAAAGGACCCCGGTTCCTTTTTGTGAACCAAGCCCAGAGGAGAGATACGTAAATTAGGAAAAGGTGGAGCAGTAAATGGGCTGGCCATGTGTCCCGCCTGCAACTCAACCTGCAACTTTTCTTCCAAAATATCTTCCTTGCCCAAAACCGAGCGAAGATTGTCCGCAAACTGAGGCAAGGAAGAGGGAACAAAGGGGATCCAGAAACCTACCTGAAACCCGTCGAACAATGTCTGTGCATCGCGTCCTCTATGATACCGTGCGAGCCACGGGTGCATCCTTAGCACGTCCACCGGCGTCCTCTCCTCTAGGTACTTCGTCTCGAGATGGACTCTTGCCGGACACCGGCTTTCCCTTTCTGAAGCAGCGTACAGCTGGGTGCGCTCCCCCGCAGTGTGCACATTCATGGTGAAACCTACAGGAGCTGAACCAGCGACAGTGGCTTTCGTTAAAAAGCCAACACACCCCTTTCCTTTGCCCTGCAGAAGAGCCTGAGGTTCCTCCAGCAGGCCCGGGAAAGGGAGATGGTCTACTGGGCGTCATGATTAAGAGCCATAAACTACCATCTTGAACCCCGAAATCCATACCTGGAACCACCACCATTTTCTGATGAAATTGTTAGTCGTATCTATACCAGCATTGTCCCCCGTAGATTTTATAAGCGCCCCATATGAGATCGAGATAACCAAAAAGGGAAGGGGCCTTATCCGGGAAACGGCGCACCAGGATACTGGAAAACACATTAAAACCTTGCAACCAGTTGCCAAAGGTCCTGGGGATATGCTTACCCTTATCCGCCTCCGGAACTTCACCCCGCCGCGGTCTGTCCACGGAATCCTTGTCGGGAGAGACCAAGGACAGCAGATCAAAGTACTCACCTCTCCAAATTTTCTTGGGTATCCAGCGGAAAATGTAACCCCAAAGGAGCCAGGCCGCATCCCACGGAACCCCGAAAAGTACCTGTAGCCGACTGACCCAAGGAAACCTGAGCCCCTAGATCCTGCGCCCCAGAATGCAAAGGCCCACCCTGATCCCTACTACCACAGCTTCTCTGGACATCGCTGCCATTCTACCGGTCCCAGGTAAGTAGTCATTGCAGATGTGAAACAGGAAAAATGGCTAATTTAGCAAATTATTTAGTTGACTGTCGAATATAATATTATTGATTGTATTTTATTAAAGTCCCTGGGGGAAGCTAGCCACACTACACCTCTGCCCGGGAACTGGTGAGTACCCTCCCCTTTACTCCCCTCTTAATGTACCCCAAGTGCCACAATGTATCCCCTTATAGACCAGCCCCTTATCCCTGCCAGCAGTCATGTCCTCCCTTCCTTATATTTCCAGGGAGGTACTTTCTCTTAGCACTGACACTGCAAGGAAGAGCTTAAAGTGCTCCTTTTGGTAACTTATTAAATATATTGCCAAATGACAATATACAAAAAAAAACAGATTTGCAATGGGGGACCCCCACCTGTCTTGGACCCCCTTGACAGGTGTAACTCAAGGACCCAGTTTCAATATCGACCACTGCACGCACCCCTGATAGTTCTGTCATTGACACAGTGTCACATATGTACTCTCTCTCTCTCTCTAATACACACACACATTTTCATACTGTACACTCTGACTGAAACACTAACACACTCTGACACACACACATTCGAGCACACACAGACACACATACACTGGTACATGCCGACTCATACAAACACAAACTCCACATTTTCACTCAGACACACAGCACAGTACCATTACTTATTTGCCTTACCAGCTTACCTCCTGGGTCATCATTAGTATGAGTATGGGTCACAAGGATTTGGCAGAGTTCTGTATCTTGGTGGCCTTCAGCTCTGTGCCTCGCAAGGAGCAACTAGGTGATGTCACTCCTCACAGCTTCCCAGTTATTATTTTTTAAATAACAAAAACCTTTACTGTTACTTCGGTAGACTGCTGCGGGAACAGCCCATAACTGGCCCCAGCTACAGCAGTCTATCTAGACATTTCCTAATAGATCAATCCCCTACCAAGAGAATTCCATTGGGGAATCTTATATTTTTCAGTTGGGATGGTAAGGCCCTGAGTTGGGCCCTGCACTGGACCCTTCCTGACATGAGGAACACCCAGATCTCCATTGCATTTGTGGCTTTTGCGACCCCCATATGTCCTGCCAAATTCTACAAAACTATATTATCTATAGTAAGGGGTTTGCTAAATGCTGCTCCAAAATAAATACATTTCCTAAATTAGTGATGGCCATTCTTACCCTTCCAACAAACTACAACTCTCTGCAAGGTGTTTGCAGTACATTTCCAGAATACTGTTATAAGTAGACCAACAATAGCAAGCTGGTGAAACTGAGCATCTTCGGACTACAAGTTTCAACATCTCCGGAGCCAACAAGAGGGTAGAGCGGTACAAGCTGAAATTAGTCTAAAATTTCAGATAATTGGCTGGACAACATAAGAGAAAATACAGC